GTCATTTAGATGAATTATTGCCTTCTTGGTACATCTATGTATCTTTACTATCTTGGCAGAGAGCTCTCCAATGAAGGATCTAAAAATATCTTTAGAGGTTTTCAAGTGCATGATTATCTGTCTAATGTGTACATAAGTGAGAAAATTCTAGATCATAGGGTGTCTACCAGGGTTTGTTGTCGAATTGCCACCATTACTCATTTATTGATTTTCCTTTTTTGTGGGACTTGGAATATGAGATGATTGCGGTGACTTCATAAAAAAATACATATCTTCTATGTTTCTAGATTCAATAGTTAGTTCGAAACGCCTCAGTAAATTCTACATTTTATTGGAATAACATAAGGCAGCTCAACTCCAATCACATGCATGATCTATACGTCATAGAATAGCATCACTTGTTGTTGATATGTAGTAAAAATTTGTACATCTGGTTTTTTCTTGGTTTGATTTGGAATTTGGAAAGTCTAATTCAAAACTTTAAATAACAACAAGTTGACCGTTCTAATGTAACTGTGTTTAAAATCGATCAAACTCGTCAAATTTTATGCATTCATCATTTGATTTGGAGAACCACCGCCTACGAAGCTCCCCAAGCACACTCCTATAATCGTTAAACCCACATCATTATATTGCATACATATGGTGTGATATTTACAAATTGGGTAAATAAATAGCTAGCAAGCATCCTTATCTTTCATGACTTACATCCAACGCTGGCTTTTCTGGGGTTTAGGAGATGCAACTACCAACTTCATGGATAATTTTATGTGCGGAGTGAAACTAGGCCTATACATCTATAATTCATTAGCCAACTAAGGATGTGGGATGTGAGAGCATCCCTAGCCCTTCCCTTGAGAAGCTTTAATACCCTTAAAAATTGGTTTGAGGAACTAGTATCCACCTAGCGCAAAACCTTTATTTACTCCCCTAAAAATATGCTTCCACGACCCCTCCCACAAAATTTTCCCTCACTAGACCGAGAGAGGCAACTCTCATTAAAATATTTCTCATACCACGCCTCTCCCTCTCCTCGGTGGTGCTCCTCCTCGGACATGGGCCTGATGCCTGTGCACCACCACCGACCTCCAGCAAGATTCTGGTGATTTCTTTTTCATCTTTTTATCTTTCTCTTCGGGCACGACCATGTTCCTCCCTGTCGTCCCCTCTTGGTGGAGCTCATTCCCGCCACCCTTTGTCACGATCAAAGCCACACCACGCGCGAAGGAGCACGTATAGAGGAAAAATATCACATACAAAGAAACATGTTTGTCAACCACCACATCATCGATTTTGACGAATCCTTTTGTTTTAGACCACACCATCATTCCACTGGGACAAGGAAGAGGAAAATAACTCATTCACATGAAGAAGTGCCCAAACCGTGACCCGTGAAAGATGAATTTTTCCCACTTTCTCGATTGCTTCCTTGCACGTGTACATCATGCACAATGAGCATCTATCAAATTACTTTTGCGGATAATCTATCATAGGCCATAGCTAGCTCATGGGAATGATCTACTGAAGAGAAGTTGTCGTTGTCTACATGGAAGGAAGAAGAAGATGAAGAGAGATTTCTAAAAATTGAAGGAAAGGGCTAGGTGCACGAAAAGTGTAGGAGAAGGGCTAGGTACATCAAAAGTTTAGTTTATATACTGGGGATTAAGGATAGAGAGAGGTTTAGGTAATTAAAGAATAGGTAAAGACTAGAGATGCTCTGATAGTATTCAAAAGTTGGTATTGTAAAAGTGAAACATAGTGCATATAGATAAGAAAAACTCCCTCTGTTTAACATAGTGCATATAGATTCTTTGTAAAAGTGAAACTTTGCAAACTTTTAACAAACTAGATGATCCTTGTGTGTTGTTGCGGTAACTTTGTTATAAAATGCGTAGATAGTTGCTAAAAATAACTAAATCTAATGAAAAGAAAATGTAATCTTGAAAATCAATAAAAGAAAGTCTCTAAAAAATAGAATATAAACCTTTGAATTACTATTAAAAATATCATTTTGAACAAAAAATGTGAATGATACCTAACATACATGTATGATGTTCCAACGTTAAATGCATAGACTAATGCAAAATAACTGTAATCTCTAAGTTCGCTTATGTGGAAGATTTTGCATGGCTTAGTGGGAGAGAAGACTTAAATGGATGGGCTTAGTGGGGACATTTGCTTATGTGGGAGATTTTGCATGGCTTAGTGTGATAGAAGACCTAAATGCGTGGTCTTAGAGGGGATGATGAGGTGGACACTTTGCATGTTGAGAGAACTGAGACCAACTTCTTAAGAATGTAAGATTTAAAACAAAATTATTTATATATATATAATATGAAAATGCATTGCATGTGTATCTAATGGTATGTATTCCATACTTTAGATGTAGATATTTTTCTCGACAAACTTGATCAGAGATTGTAAAGTTTGACTTACAGAAAATTATATTCACCACAAGTATAGTATATAATGAATAGAGTGCATTTCATATTTTATGTCATTAATGAACTTCGTGGTTGTGCTAGCACTGATTTAAATGTTGAATGGGTAAAAAAATATGATTTTGTTTACTAAGCTTGACCAAATCTGGTCAGATGGGCCGGCACGGCCTACCCAAGGCTAAATGTGTCTGGCATGGCACGACCCAACATGTTTACTAACGGGGTCGTGTCGTGTCGGCCCGTGTGTCACGCCCTTAAGCCCGGGCGCTCCTCTAGTAAACGGGCTAGCCCACGGGAAGCTTGGCCTGTGTGTTTCAGCCCAATGGGCTTTTTATGCTATTTACGCCGTTTTTCCTATATATATAATTAAAATTAATAAACAGATCGTGTTTTTTTAAAGAGAAACATCGGCTTTGTTGATCACTTAACAAGTTACAAAGAGTCCCAGATACAATCCGGAACAGAATGAAAAATCACAAAGCTAGATAAATTCTTACAAGATTTAGCTAACAAATAAGCCGCTACATTAGCTTGCCGATGAACATGCTTGAACACCACAGAAACAAAGCTTTGAGAAGCAAACTTGATGTCTTCAACAACAGCAACAATGTTGGAGCGATCGCAAGATCTCGAATTCATCATTTGCACCAGCGAAAGGCAATCCGAAGCAAAGATAATATCAGAATAGCCTTCATCACTAGCTAATTGCACAGCTCTACGTAAGGCCAAAGCCACCGCAAGTTCAGATCGTGTTGTGCCTGTACGTGGGCCTGTCCTCACAGCCAAGGAATTGCCCGTTTATAACCGTGCCGGGCCAGGCCTGTAACTGGTCGAGCAGCGAAAGGCAATCCAAAGCAAAGATAACATCAGAATAGTCTTTATCACTAGCTAATTGCACAGCTCTACGTAAGGCCAAATCCTCTGCAAGTTCATATTGTGTTGTGCCTGTACGTGGGCCTGTCCTCACAGCCAAGAAATGACCCGTTTATAACCGTGCCGAGCACGAAAGGCCACGGCCTCAATCATCGTGCTCGTTTGCTGGGAAATCTGAAGGGAGAGGAACGTTTGCATCTTCAAGGGAAAAAATGCATCCTATGATGATATCTTTAGATGTGTCACAAAAACTTTAGAGCTCTGGAGTATTGCGGGGCCTAAAAGCTTAGAGTGCCCTCTCGGCCCCCCTTCCGAGAGAGTCTAGCTTTTTCTCTTTTGGCCTTCGGACAGGCTACGGCCAAAGAAGCATTCTGTAATTGTTTTAGGGAGCAACTAGTTAACGAGCGCTCCTTCGGGAGCCTCGCAACGATCAACGTCACTTGACGCACTCTCAGCTATTCGCCACGTGTCGCGCTTTGAACGCTCTCTTCGAATTTCGGTTTTTTTATTTTTCCGCATGCGTTTTCGGCTTTTAAATGGTTTTTTTCTGGGTTTTTTCGACGTTTTGGTTTCCCCCCGGTGTTTCTTAGCTTTCCGATAAAAAAAATCGAAAAAAAAATTTGCGTGAAAAAACGCGTTTTCTTTTTTTCCTTTCGCGAAAGTCACGGTTTTTCTTCCGCGAGAGGCGCGGTTGTGCTTTATCGAGAGTCACGGCCGTGCCTTTCGGAAACGAATGAAAAACGCGTTTTCTGTTTTTTTTTCTTTCGCGAGAGTCACGGTTTTGCTTTCGCGAGAGGCACGGTTGTGCTTTCGCGAGAGTCACGGCCGTGCCTCTCGGAAAGGAAAAAACAAAACGCGTTTTCTGTTTTTTTCTTTCGCGAGAGTCACGGTTTTACTTTCGCGAGAGGCATGATTGTGCTTACGCGAAAGTCATGGCCGTGCCTCTCGGAAAGGGAAAAAAATACGCGTTTTCTGTTTTTTTTTCTTTCGCGAGAGTCAGGGTTTTGTTTTCGCATGAGTCACGGTTGTGCCTCTCGGAAACGAAAAAAACGCGTTTTCTGTTTTTTCCTTCCACGAGAGTCACGGTTTTGCTTTCACGAGAGGCACAGGCGTGCCTCTTTCGGAAAGGGAAAAAAACCATGCTCCCGGTTCGGTTTTTCATCCGATTTTTTTCGTAAAAAAAGTTCGTCAAAACCTATCAACATGGGATCTAGTTTTGAAGATCTCAACGCGAGGAATCCAATGATGAAAACGGTTTGAGATTTGGACGCACGGTTTAAGAGATAAAACGTTTTGAATAAACGAATCTACGAAAAAAAGGGAAAACTCTCAGATTGCGACAAGTGGCGCGCTGCATGTGCGCCACTTGTCGCGACATGGAAAAATGGAGTGTTCTTTGCAACGAGTACTCCTTAATTAGTGATTTCAATTGTTTTAACTCTCCTCTGCTAAATCAATGATAAGCCCGCGATGCTGGATCTTTCAAAAAAAAAAAACCGTGCCGGGCCAGGCCTGTACCTGGTCGAGCATTGTGCTCATGGGCCGGTACGCAGCCCATGTCCCAATTAGCCAGCTTTGAGACCAAGCGCTGGGCTTACGGGCCAGCCCATTTCCGGGCGTCATCCCCCGGAGAGCAACGCGAGCCACCCAAACGGAGGGAGCTCGCCCTTCCTTCCACGCGCCGAAATGCTGGCCGCCACCGCCGCCTGCCGCGCGCCGGCGCGGCCGCTCCCCGCCGCGCGACCCGGCAGCAGCTACCTCCTCGGGAGCGTCCTTCTCCCCAAACGGAGAGCGCCGGCGGCGAGGAGGAGGGGACGGAGCGCGGCGGTGCGGTGCGGGCTGCTCCCCGTGGACCCGTGGGCGCCCGGCGTCGACTCCCAGAGCATCGCGTCGCAGCTCTTCGCCGTGTCGCTGTTCCCCTACCTGGGGTTCCTCTACTTCATGACCCGGTCCAAGACGGCGCCCGGGCTCACGCTCTTCGGCTTCTACTTCCTCCTCGCCTTCGTCGGCGCCACCAGTACGCGTCCTCCTCCTCCTCCTCTTCCCTTTTCGTCTCGCTGTTTTCACGTGTCAATCTAGTTGTTGTTGTGGTTGGGGAGCGAAAATACTTGTACATTAGCAAACATTTTAGAAGCGGTTAGAGAACTGAATGTGAATGCTACTGGGCAATTTGGCCACTATCAGAAGGTCAATTTTATATATCTGGTGAGTACAGACGATGCTGTGCATTGAAAATCACATGGATTTCATCATGAGAAACTGAGAGCTGTCATGAATGGTGTGGCGAGACGAAAAAATAATTGTGCATGCATTATGTGGCTGTCAGATATATTTGAACAACTCAAAATGCCATGGCACTCAGCTTACATCTGCAAAATGTGTTCTATGTCAACAAAACGTTGCTCATGTGCGTGTAAACACAGGAAGTTTGTGGAATGATTGAACTTAAAACACAAAATGTTCATACACTTGGTAAGAGAGCACCACTGCAGGTTTCTATATACTGTTCCAAAGCAACCGGCCAATAGCTTTTATGATGTTTGCATCTTCCCAAAGCTCAACATTTTAACTATAGCCAAGGCAAATGACTAACACAAGCATGTAGAAAAGAAAATTTGATGCTGGTTTGTTTTGGAGCATTTCAGTACATAATTCAGGTCGTTGGAGAAGACTTATAATGACTAATGAAAATTTGTAGAACGAAGTAGGAAGGAAAAGGGACGTTGAAATCAGTAGAGTGCACGATCAATCAAAATGTTACTGTGCGTGTGTGTGTGGCACAAACGAACCAATTTGTTCCTCAATTAATGTGAATCTTGATTTTTGTTATCCTTTTGGCAAAAAGCCTTGCCATTTGATTGGGACTTAAGTGTCAGAACAAAATATGTGTATGTGTCCATCTGCTGTATAGTGTATACATTGGCCTCTTCTATTTTAAATTATTTAGTTTCCGCTATTTAGTTAGCTAGAAGAAAATTACCTCCTCTCACGTCATTAATTATTTCCCTTTTGTTTCATGCACATTGCACGGGCATTTTATCCCCGGAGCAGTACCTGCTGGGATATATGGTAATTGCATCATATCATAAGTTTTCAGTGAATCTTACACACCTTGATCGACACAATAAGTATTTACCGATACATCACCATCCTCTTTCAGCCAAAGTTCATTACGGGACCTCGCTTTCAAATGTGGATTTGCTGCATGGGACGGCGGAATCGCTTCTCACCCTTACCAATCTATTCATTGTGCTTGGGCTGAGGGGAGCCTTGAGGAACCTGGACAAAGCAGAGGAGAGCAGTCCTGAAGCTCCTCAGGACAGCAAGGAGAAGAGTTCAGTATAGGTACTCTCACCAGTTCCCCCAAATGGTGCTTGTAAATCCCTGAGAACCTTTTCCTGGTGCATCTAGTGATGACATTGTACTGTAGTGAGTGTACATTTCTGTTGCTCAACTAGCTTATGAAGCCCCTGATGCTGTAATAAACTGCACAGACTGGCTTTGTGCATGTGCTGATCCATAATACTACTCTCTCTGTAAGGAGGGAGTATATTGCAGTGGCCAGTGTATGACCACTACAGTTCTACTAGTGATGGTGCTATATCTACTGCAGATATATAGCTTCCATTGCGATAAATGATCACGAGTCTGAATCTAAGTACTAGTGGGAATACAGTAGGATAGTGGACACGGCGCCTACAGTCTTCTGAAACTCCGGTTAGAAAAACTACATATTCCAGAACAGCTCGTCGAAGTCCATGTCAGCCCCGAGGCCGCCTCCGGCGGCGTAGCCGTAGTTGCCGGCAAGCTGGCACCAGGAGTTCCCCGGCGTGTAGCAGCCGGCCGGCGAGGAGGGGAACGAGGGCGGCGTGAAGGGCTCTGCCGGCCACTGCATCCCTTCCGACGCCTCAGCCGGCGAGCTCTGTTGCTGCTGCTGTTCCTGGCCCAAGGAAGCAGGCGGCTGCTGATCTGTGCCGACGAGGACAGCGGTGGCCTGGGCGCAGGTGTGCGCGCCGTGGTAGACGACGTCGAAGAGCAGCGGGTCGGCGGCGGCGCGCTGCACCTGCTTGGTGGCCTGGCAGCCCTGCGAGTGCCGGTGCGTGCACCGGAAGTAGGCCCGCGGGTACGGTGCGCCGAGGATGTCCTTCTGGCCGTACTTCCGCCAGCTGAGCCCGTCGTCGAGCGACCCCAGGTCCTGCATCGACGCCACCCGCACCTGCGCCCTGACCGCCCCCGCCTTCCTGCCGCCCCTGTGCTGGCCGTTCACTCTCGCCCTGCCGCCGGCATTGCCTCCGCGCGGGCCGCTCCCAGCGAGGCGCACGGCACGGTCGACGGACGCGGCCAGCTCGGCGCAGAGCTCCCTGGCGGCGCCCGGCGCGCCCTGGTCGCCGTCCACCCTCTCCTCCAGCTCCCTCGCCATGGCCAGCAGCCCGTCCAGCTCCGTCGCCAGCGTCGCCGTCGTGTCCTCCATGCCCGGCACCTGCTCTAGCTAGTCGATCAGCGGCAAGCTTCTCATGAGCGTGCGCGTGCGCGTGCGTGCTTGGCGGGTTTTCGTTCCCTGTGATGATGATGATGAGCAGGTCTTTTATAGGCCCGGGCCAAGTAAGCGCTGATCAAGCACCGTTCATTTTTTTGTAAAAGAATCCAACACTGTTGATGGACGGGGACTATAAAAAATCGAGCGCGGTTTGACTGAAGACCGGAGAAAAGCGCGAGACTTTGAACCGAGAAGGAAATAAACACGTCACGCTCGGACCGGTCCTAGTCTCCTCTCCATTTTGGTCCTGGGCAAGGCCACCACCATGGGGCTGCCATGAATATACGCTCTCTGTCTAATCCGGTAGCTGACGAGTGACGTGGCCAGCCGCAATAACCAGCGGCGTCCCTCTCACCGGATCGCCTCGTTTGGACCCATCGACGCGGCGCAGGTGAACGGGGATGGCAGTGAGTGGCATGTGAAGTTCACCGCGCTTTTCCTGGAAGTTTCGTCGCCGCTGCCGTCCATGGACAGACTGACAGTAACCATGGAAGTAAAATTTCCGCCTGGCGTTGTGCCGCGCCGGTACGTGGCTTGGTGCCGTCACCTCGTCGCCGGACGTGCGGTCGATCCGCGCCGCGGCAGGGGGGAGGAAGATGCCCAGAAGGCGGCGCGCGCGGCTGGTTGCCGGGAAGTGAGCAGTGAAAGTGGGAAGCTTTTTTTAGGCTAGCATAGAGCCAACTTGGCCCACGGGCACGATCGATCGGCGTGTGGCAGAGCAAAGGGGAGTTTGCACCATGTGGACATGGCGTGACCCGCGTACGAGCAGTGAGAGGACGTACAAGCTGAGAGGCGTGTGCCGTGTGCCCACGCAAGGAGCCGCTGTACAGTCCCTGGACCTGGACACAGAAGCCAGTCCGTGTGGCACACGGGACCGTGTTCGATCTTTCACCGTGGTTTTGTGCCCCGTTTGCTGCATCTTGCAACTTGCAAGAGAGGGCATGCCTACATTGTGTTTACAACAACAAGGGTGTGGCAAGAAGGAGACCCTCTCGTTCCACAGCCTGATGGATTGGTCCAACAAGACAAGGGTTCAAACGATGTGTGTAACCGGCCGGTCTTAGCCTACAGGGAGTAGGGTCGTCGAGCTAGCGAGTCATGTCGATCTGCTTTCACGCGGCGTGTGCACGTGAAGCCCGGAATCGTCAAAAAGGTTTTCTACATGGACACGACACGACACGACCCGGGACGGATGCGCTGGGCTGTGAGACTCGGTTCAAAACACCAAATCAAATAATTCGCCGCACGCGTACTAAATACATCTACAGTCGGGCGCTCCAGACACATCTCAAACGGACAAACCGGTCACAAAAATAAAGTCTATAGTAGGTCCTTAAACTATTTCAAGAGTATCAAAGAGATTCTCAAACTATGAAAATCATCATTCAGGTCCTCGAAGTACAACAAGTGTGTCATGCTAAGCAAAATAGGTCTTCGGACTACTTTAAATTGAGCTGATTTTGGACCTGGATGACATATTTACTGCACTTTGAATATTCACATGATGATTTTCATAGTTCGAGGACCTACGTGGCACCCGTGAAATAGTTCAGGGACCTAAAATACACTTCATTCAAAATCAACCCACGTGAACGTACCTCGGATGGTTAGTTTTTCTTCTTCTTATTTGCAAACACACAAAAGGCTTGCATGCCAATGTATTAGAAGAGAGTCAGGTAGAAATACAGAGAATCCGGTGGAAAACATCCGCGGTTACAAAGATACAACGCGACATAACAAAGGAAAGGGCATCCTAGCTATCGCGGCCGTAAAACAATGCCCTAGAGCGGAGAGACAATTATCTCCAGATGTCGATCAACTCGGTAGAGCCCGAGATGCGATGGCACAGCTCGCGGGGCATCACAACAGCACGCTGAAATACCCGGCCATCCCGTTCCTTTCAGAGCATCCAGATGCAGAGCAAGGCGATGGAGTCAAAGCCCCGACGATGTGACCGCGGGATGAGGACACGAAAGTTCGGCCACCACTCAACAAGTGCATCAGCGGGCACAAGGTGAGCAAGACCACCATGAGCCAACATGGTGTGCCACACCTCTGTCGCGTAGACGCAGCCTAGCGCAATATGGTCTGCAGTCTCCGCCTCTTGTGGCACAGAGGGAAGACGACATGGGAGGTCAGACCATGGCGCAAGCGTCGATCGCGGTCCAAATGCGTCTTCTCATGGCTAACCAGATGTGTAATTTGCAGTTGGTTGGCGCCCAGGCGCGCCAAAGTGCCTTTCCAGCGGAGATGTTTAGATTTTATACGGTGAAAGCAACCCGCCAGAAGACGTTTTCGTTGACTACGAATGTGTAGCGACTTCGTGAATTTCAAGATGATTTATCGGTTCAGTCTTTCGGAGATGATTATAAAAGTAGGGTGTCTGTACGTGTGTTCATAGGGATGGGTGTATGTTTGTATGTACCGTGTTAAAAAAAAATTCACCGCACTCCTCCGACGGTCGAAGGAGCTATGTCTCGCTTATTGGTAACTCCCCTCGCCTGAATCGCGGCACGACCAAGTCGGCCAATCACCGTAACAGTGTGTTCATTTTTACTCTTAAAGTTTCCCAAATGATAAGTGTCACACATGTGACACGAAGCAACATGATCCAACGGCATTCATTACCATCTATTTTGCCACGTCAAAACAGATGACATCATCGGTAATTTTTTTGGTTTTAAGACTTAAAATTGTTTTATCTCCTAAATAAAAAATTTGATTGAAAATCCGTTTTCATCATTAAATCTGACTCGACGAGATTTTTAAAATTATATCCATGTTGATATGTTTTGACGATCTGTTTTTGAGCCAAAAGTTATCATGATGCTTACACTAAAGTTGTCATAGTGTTTACACTAAAATTGTCATGACATGTTTGATCTAGTTTTCATTCTAGATTTAAAGGTACCATTGTATTTTAACTACTTTTTACAACAATTTTTATCAATTGATCATGGAAATTTTAGTAATAACCACGTCAAATTTAATTTATGGATCATGGCATTTTTAGTAACTTAACATGGCAATTTTAGTAATATGACCATGGCAATTCTAGTATTTTGTCCATGAGAATTACTAAAATGGTCGTGCAACAGCACGGCTCACGGGGCATCAGAACAGCACGCTGAAATACTCCGTTCCTTTTAGAGCATCCAAATGCAGAGCAAGGCGATAGAGTCAAAGCCCCAACGGTGAAACCGCGGGATGAGGGCAGAGAGTCCAGCCACCACTCAACAAGTGCATCAACAGCGGCAGCGAGCGCAAGGTGAGCAAGACCACAGCAAGCTAACATGGCATGCCACACCTCTCTGGCGTAGACGCAGCCCAGCGCATTATTGTCCGCAGTCTTCACCTCCTGGTCGCACAGAGGGCAAACGACATGGGATGTCAGATCATGACGCAAGCGTCGATCGCGGTCTAAATGCGTCTTCTCATGGCTAGGCAGAAGTGTAATTTGCACTTGGCCTGCGCCCAAGCGCACTAAAGTGTTCCAGCGGAGATGTTTAGGTTTTATACGGTGAAACCAACCCACTAGAATATGTTTCCGTCGACTATGAAGACGTCTGTGATAACTTCGTGAATCTCAAGATAATGTGTCGGTTCAGTCTTTCGAAAATGATCATAGAAGTAGGATGCGTGTACGTATATGTGTGTTCATAGAGATGAGTGTATGTAGATATGTATGAGTGTATGCGTATATAGCGTGTTAAACAAATCACCGCACTCCTCGAACGGCCAAAGAAGCTATGTCTCCCTTATTGGTAACTCCCCTCGCCTGAAGCGCGGCGCCCGGGTCGTCCAATCACTGTAGCAATGTGTTCGTTTTTATTCTCAAAGTTTTTTCTGTTAAGTCCTTTTTATTGTTTGGACCGTTTGTGGTCAGATTTCATGGTGCTATCCAGTTTTCTTATGGTTTTTTATTGTTTTTTTGTTTCTTTGCCGATTTTTTTCATTTTTCCTTTCTTTCTTCGTGATACCCTGGGGTTTTTTCATTGGTTCTTTTTGTTTTTCTTCTTCTATGTATGTAAGTTTTCTTTATTTCTTTCTTCGTTTCTTTGTTTTCTTTTTTTTCTTTGTCAAACTCACTAATTCTGTCTTTTCTTGTTTTTATTTTTTCTTTGTTTTTTTTCTATTTTGTTTTTCGTTGTTTCTTTCTCCGTTTTCACTGTTTTTTAAGTACATGATGTATATTTTTTTTCTTACATACAAGTTTCAAACACTTTTTTGTATACATAGTCAAAAATATACAAATACATGGGAACATTTTTGAATGGGAATAAATATTTTGTTCGCACACAATGCACACTTTTGATATACATTAGGGACTTTTTTGTACATGTTTGATATTTTTAAATTAATAAGTACCTTTTCTAAAATATATGTTTTTATTACTATTTTTATTCACCATATGTTGTACATTTTCTATACACAGTTTACATTTTTAAAATATATGATCAACATTTTTTCGTACTTACTGTATTTTTTGTCAAAACTTTTTGTTGAGAAACATTTTTTCTATACAGATTTAATATTTCTCAAAATCTTGACTAACATTTTTAAATACATGATCAACATTTTTTATACATATTATATATTTTTTGTATATGTTTTCCGTATACATGACAAAACAATATATATATATATATATATATATATATATATATATATATATATATATATATATATATATATATATATATATATATA